GCCCGCTCCCTGGGGCGCTCCAGGAAGACCTCTCCCTCCCTGTGGACACAGCCCCGCTGCACCTGCCGCGGAGTGCCCCTGCTCCCGGCCCTCCTCTGTGGGTGCTCTCCAGACAGAACTTTCTGCATTGGTTTTCCCAGACTTCTGTCGGGGTGGAAATGCTAAAGAAATGTGTGAAGTCACTCTGAAGATGCTCATTTTTGCCAGCTGCATGGAATTGGGGCAAGCCGTAGCTGGGTGGAAATTTAATTCTTTTATCTCTCTTTAAAAAAAAAAAAAAGGATTGGGGGGGGGGGGGGTCCTGTTTTCTCCAGGGTATTTACCGTGATGCGCGTGAGCCAGGGAAGTAACTGCTATTTGTGTCTGATTCTTTCAAACGGAAATCTGGGTCATGTGCAGAAACTCCAGGATGCCGGCGAGGGCTGCCCAGCTAACGTGGGTCTGGCATGAGGCTTACACAGAACGGGGGTGCCTTATCCCTTTGACTCGCTCACCGCATCTGCTGGCAGACAAACAGCTTTAGAGAAAACTTGGCTTTTTCTTTAAAAATAAAATGAGGAAAGCACGGTGCCTCCTATTTCACCCGAGGCACATTTGAGCAGAGGGGGCTGGAGTACCAGCCCTGAGTTTCCATGAATAACTGGGGCTCAGGCTCGCAAATGCCTCCCCAGCGTCTGCCGGCACCAGGAAGCTTGATTCCCGTTAACCGCCTCCCAGACGCTCTGATCACAAAAGGAGAATAGCGCTGCTCACATGACGGGCACGGGCAGAGGCAGCCGGGTCTGAGAGCGCCCCGGTCTGCGCGCAGTTGGTGCCCAGCTGACAGACGGAATATGGGGTGGGCTTTGTCGCCGGCGTGCCGGGTCTGGCATGCCCAGCTATGCTTGGAGGCATGCAGTGCCCAGATGCCTGCCACTGCTCCCCGGGTCCGAGCCGCCCCAGCGCCGCGGGGCCGGGCAGCGCCCCCCGCCTGCCTCCCACCCGAGAAGGTTATATAATGAGCGGACTGCTGCCAAAGTCGGAGGGAAAATGAAGTCTTTGTTAAATGCCTTCACCAAGAAGGAAGGTAAGGAGACAGCTTAGGGACATGTGCATGGAGACGCGCGGTTTCTTCCTAGCTCTCCAGGGAGAGGAGGGCGCCAGTGCCTCCTGAAATTGTTGGTTGTTCATTCCCGTCGTGAAGGGAATAATTACTTCTGGTGTGTGAGGGGGTTTGTTGTGCTTGGTCTGGAATTTTAACCCACTCGAAGGTGCTGTTTTAATTTATTTTTTAAGTCTTGAGTGCCTGGTGGCTGAATTGCATTCTGCAGTGTGCATCCGTGGTGGCTCTGGGGGGCACGTTAGAAACTATGTCCTATGGGAAAGAAAGCAACTTTTGACCGTAGTCGTCCACTACCTGGAGGCTGCCGAGCGCTTGCTCAGGAATGAGGGCGGCCAGGACCCACTGCTAGCCACACCGGCGGGGTGGACGCTCTCACGACCGCTTCTCGGCTCTCCTGGGCTGTCCCCAGGTTGCAGCTTCGTGGAATGGATGAGAAATGCAGTGTGGCAGACTTTAAAAGTGCATATGCTTTCTGTCATAGCTTGTGTGATTTTTATTGTGGGAAAAAACGTATAAATAAATGCATGTAAGACAGCTAAGAAAATATCCACCCACTTGGAGTTTGCAGATTTGCCCAAGAGAAGGAAACAGTTGGGTGGAATATTAATCATTTTCCAACAGGAAAAGTTATTTTAAATCTTTAGGAGTTATTCTGCGCCCCCCTTCCTCTCCCACCTAAAATCGCCATGTCCACAGTGGCTCCAGTTGGTTTTGTCAGACGGAGAGCTCTCGTTTTATGAAATCAGGTTTATGAAGATGTTAGTTTGGAGGACTTCGGGAGACGATTCCCTGCCAAAGCCATAAAACAAACACGGGGAAAAGATTTCCAATTAAATCGCACAGGAAACTAATTTAATGTGAGCCTTGGTAATTTAGCGAGATAATTTTCATTAGATGTTCACCCTAACGTCACCTGTGCGATTCCATGTGTGCGGCTCGCTTGGGCCTTGGGGCGCAGTGTGTGTGGAGCCCTCCCAGCTCTGGTGTCCCTTAACCTTCCTAAGGCAACTGCCCACGGGAATGTCTGCCCCTCTCCAGTCGCCCACGCAGAGAGCCCTCCCCTGCCTGAGTCTTCGGAATTCATATCAAACACAGCCTTGTCTGTGGTCGTTTGCTTAATGTTTTTAGCCCAAATCCACCCTCTGGTAGTTTGACCTTTGTCATCCATGCTCGCCTGCACATTTCCGTTGGGGGTGTGGAGTCAGGGCGCCCGCGTACTGCCCGCCCTTGATGTCCCCTCTCAGCCCTGGGCAGGGCTCCACCCAAATTCCGTCACTTACGGTCGAGGGCACTCCTAACTCACCCAGATACAGGTCAGCAAAACAGAACCGGCTGCCTCGTCGGGAAGCTGGGAGGCCCGGCGTGGATCCGTGTAGATGAGCATGGGCACGTCCTGGTCTGGGGGCACCCCTCAGAGCTGGGGTTCTCCTCCCTGCAGTTCACATGGGCCCTGGCCTGCCCCCGGTGGGGCAGTGAGGGTGCTCCGGGAGGCTGCTGAGGATGACCCGGCGCCGAGGGGTTCTGTCTGTGACTGCCCCTCCAGCCGGCCATCTCTGAGTGGGGATGACTCTCTGAGACTGCTGCCGGCCCTTCCCAGGGCTCCGCTTTGTCAGGGGGCCTCAGATCACCCCAACACCGACAGCCCTAAATGATGAGCGTTCTCATTGTGGAGTCTCTGTGGCCTCTTGTCTACTCAGTGGGTGAATGGGTATGTTCTCCCTCGTAACCAGTAAAAAACACAAACTCAGACTTTTCCCCAAAATGAGAATCTTCTAGTGGGTGGGTGAGGCTGTGACTGATTCCCCAGTGGGCTGAGCCCCTCAATTGGCAGCCCCTCTTGCTCTAGAAACAGGTCCGCGCAGGCCCCCAGCCTCCGTCCCGTGGCAGAGCGTGGCCATGTGCCACCCCGACAGGGCGGCTTCCCAGAGGGAACGGGTTGGAGCCGGGGCACACTGCTGCCTCGGAAAGCGTGCTCCCCTCCCCAGCTGTCCTGCCCCCAGCCGGGATTCCAAGTGCATGTCCTCAAGCAGCCTCGTGCCGTTTCCGGGCGGCTTCCTGCCATCTCTGCCTTCCCAGGACAGCCCTGCATCCTGGGGAGGCAGTGAAGCAGTGCACTGGGCCACTGCTGTCCCCATGAGCCCTGTCAATGCCACCTCAGTCCCCATGAGCCCTGCCAGTGCCTCCTCGGTCCCCATGAGCCCTGCCAGTGCCACCTCTGTCCCCATGAGCCCTGCCAGCACCACCTGTGCCCCCGTGAGCCCTGCCAGTGCCACCTCTGTCCCCAGTGAGCCCTGCCAGCACCACCTCTGTCCCCATGAGCCCTGCCAGTGCCACTTCTGTCCCCATGAGCCCTGCCAGCACCACCTGTGCCCCTGTGAGCCCTGCCAGTGCCACCTCTGTCCCTAGTGAGCCCTGCCAGCACCACCTCTGTCCCCACAGCCCTGCCAGTGCCACCTCTGTCCCCTGTGAACTCTGCTGTCCAGCAGGGGCGTGGGCCGGTAGCAGGGGGTTGGGGCCATGCCCAGCACCTGTCCTCAGCTTCTGTAAAGTACTTCTCCACAGCCTCTGATCTTGGGCACCCGGGGGCAGTAGATTGCCCAGGACTTTGTCCTGAGCCACCTGTGACGTCTCTTTGGGATGCAGAGATGCCCGTCTCCTAATCGGCTCCCAGAGGCTCTGCGTGGCTCCAGCCTGTGGGCTGACAACCCTGGCCTCAGACAGCACACGCCTGAGAGCTGGGCTGGCTCAGTGCAGAGCGCGCGCACCGTACTGCTGCTGGGATAGCTGTTGGCTGCCACAGGCCCAGAGGCGGCACGCGTCCCTTGCTGCCAGGCGTCCTCAGCAGCTTCCTTCCCTGCAGCTTTGGGGGCTGCTTTTCAAAAGCCTCTTCTTGGAAAGGACACTTTCTGGCTCTGGCTCTGGCCTCGGAGCAGCCCGGGACTGCAGTATGGATTCCTGGCCTCACGGCCCCCATGGGCAGTGTCCTCGTGCTGAGTCCCTGGGCATGCTGAGCTCGGCAGAGCAAGGCCTTGCCTGTGGTCTGGACCTGGAGAGAAGCCAGGGAGGCATGCCCATCTGCCCCCGTTGCACGCCGCAGGGTCCTGGTTTGGGGAGGGAGGGAGGGGTGTGGTTGGGGCTGAGGCAGACTAATTCTGACCAGACTTGGAGGCCCTGTGAGTGTCCGGGGCAGTTGTGACTAGTCCTACAGAGCTGGGGGCTCACACAGCAGACGTTTATTATCTCCATGTCCTGGAGGCTGGAGGCGGAGACCCAGGGGTGGGCAGGGCCGGCTCCCCTGAGCCTTTCCTGGGCATGTGGATGCAGTCCTCTCCCTGGGTCCTCAGGTGGCCATCCCTGTGTGCGTGTCTGTGTCCTGACCTCTTCTGATGAGGACGCCAGGGCCTCCCTGTGACCTCATTTACCATAATCACCTCTGTAAAGACCCCCACCTCCAAATACAGTCACATTCTGAGGTGCCAGCACATGAACTCCACGGGGACGCATGCAGCCCATGGCAGGGGCCAAGCTCAGGTCGTGGTGAAGTGGACCTGCCTCACTGTGGCTGCCTCAGTGTCCTGACTGTGCTGTGAGATGGGGTGGCTATGCTCACACGTGTCTCCTGGCTGCAGAGGGAGTGGGCGCTGGCCTGGATGGAAAGCAGACCCCGAGTCCCTTCCATCTCAAGCATTAGCTTGAACCCCTTAAAGTGGAGATGTTCTCAGTCTCCACCCACCTGCTTCTGTGTTGGGGTGCATCTGCACACTGCGGGGTCCTGTGTGGGTTTGGCACAGAACTCACACCTGGCCGCGTGGGGTGGTGGTGCACGCGGGCCTGTGTCCTGCCCGGCATGGACAGGGCAAGCACACACTCACCTCCTCTCCCATTCTCTCCAACCCAGTGCCCTTCCGAGAGGCCCCCGTGTACTCCAACCGCAGGCGGCGGCCTCCCAACACACTGGCCGCTCCCCGGGTCCTGCTGCGCTCCAACAGTGACAATAACCTCAATGTCAGCGCTCCCGACTGGGCCACCTGCCCCGCCACCTCCCACCGCAGCCTCTCACCCCAGCTGCTGCAGCAGATGCCCAGCAAGCCCGATGGGGCCATCAGGACCATCGGGAGCTACGTGCCTGGGCCCCGCAGCCGGTCCCCGTCGCTCAACAGGCTGGGTGGCACCGGCGAGGATGGCAAGAGGTCCCAGCAGTCCTGGCACATCGGGTAAGGAGCTACTGGGCGTGGGGGTGCTCCCGTGGGGACCAGTCGTGGGAAGCCCTCCGTGCACGGGGCTCGTGGTTCCTAAAACCCTGGCCTTGCCCTTGGCTGAGCAGAATGCCTTTTTTACTCCCGTCTGGATGCTTTAAAACCAGAGTTCTGCCCCCTGCCTGCTCCGACTGTCCTGAGAGTAGTGAGGGCCCAGGGCCGTTGCCTAAGCACTGTGGCCCAGATGTCTGCTCAGGGCAGGTGCAGGAGGCCGGCTGAGCTTCTTAGGGTGGCTTGAGGCTGCTGCTGGCATTTGGGGACACGTGTCCTTTCCTTGTGGGTCCTAAACTTACTTGAAAGGTGAACACAGGGGGCTATGCCACCAGCCTGCCCCGTGCTGAGTTCTTCCAAATGCCACGTTTCACACAAAGGCACCTTATCTGAAGGTGATGCGCACACACAGAGCAGTGAGAAACCCTGGACCAGACGGGAAAAGCAAGGCTCGGTGCCCAGCCAGGGCACAGAGACCGAGGAGCCCAGCAGCCGAGGAATGGCCTCAGCCGCCCCCGTCGTATCGCCCACAGCTGGTGCACGGAAGGCGTCTTGAGTCTGTGCAGCAGCCCCAGGTGGCAGAACCCCATCCTCCCCCTTTTCTAGATGAGGAGATAAGGCCAGTGTAGCTCAGACTAAGCGTGGACCCCCTCCGTGGGCATCTGACGGTGGGGTCTTGGCCTTCCTGCCCTCCATCTGCTCAGGACACTGTCCCCCTCGTCTCGCTGCGCTTAGGCTTTTTCAGGCACAGCTGGGGTTCCCTGGGGGTGGGCTCACTGCCAGGGCCTCCGGGGGTGGGTTTGGAGCTGGGTGGAACCATTGGACCCTCTCAGTTGCCGCTGCGCTCCAGCCCCCTGCGCACTCACGCGGGGCTGTTCGCGTGTCGGCTCACCTTGCCCCTGTCCTGTGAGGCGGGCCCAGTATCCTCCCATTTCACAGATGGCAGGACTGAGCCCTGGGCTCATGATGCCAGCGTGTCGCTGGGGCGGGGCTCTGACCAGGCTCCTGGTCCCCGAATCCTCAACATGGGACTCCCGGGGCTTGTCCTCTCCTGAGGCGGGAGGGCCTCCACGGAGGGCTGCGGACCTGTGTCTTCCTGGCTGGCACTGGTCTGGGGTCAGGTTTGAGTGTCCCCGCTGGTCCACATGTCACCAGATCCCCATCCCACCCCCATCCGTGTTTCCTCCCAGGGCTCGGAACTTGGGTCCCCCAAGCCTGCTGCGGCCCCAGCTAGGATCTGGGGTGGTGGGGAGTGGGAGGGGTCTGCCACGTCCCCACGGCCTGAGGGCTCTGTCCTGCCCGTGCAAGCTTGGGGTGTGTTTGGGCTCGGGCTACAGGCAGAGAGCCCGGTGGGGGGGTCATGCTTCACGTGGCCACAGACGTGGGCTGAGTGCTGTGACCAGCCGCCGCGCCCAAGAGTGCGGGGAGAAGGTGCCGGGGTGACCCGCCCCCCCCCTAGCCCGCCTCGGAGCCTCGCCTGCAGACACTTCCCGCTGCGCCTGTTCCTCCACCGGAAGGGATCCGGCTCCTGGCTGTGGTCTAGATTCTCCCTCTGAGTCACCCCCAGGGAGAAGTCCGAGGCGCTAAGAACGGTTTAAAGCTGAATTAAAGAATTCCCCTGAGGCAGCAAATTCCACTTCACACCGTTCACTAGAATTATGACCATAATTTTAAAAAGAGCATGTCCCGGGCTCCCAGCATGAAGTCTAATAAGATACCAAAGGCGTTGTGGCCAGGGACTTGCAGAAGCTGCCAGCAAAATCTTGCTTGTGGAGAGAGAGCGCCGGGGTGCGTGGCACGGCCCCTGCCTGACTGCCCTGGGCTCCTGAGCGGCGGGGTTTCCGGAGCCTGCGGTTGTGTTGGTGAGGTAACTGCAGCCTCCAGTCTGCCCTGAATGCCGGCAGTCAGGACTTCTGGGTGCAGGTGCTCGCCTCCACTGGGTGGGAACACTTACTGAGCGCTTTGTGCCTAATCTCTGGTGACTATGAAATGAGGGTCACGGGAAAACCAGCCCCCTTGGGTTGTTCTCGGAATGAATGAGTTCATGGCAGCACCTGGTACACAGCATGTGCACAGTCCAGGGTGGCCCTTAGATGAAGCTGGGATTAGATGATTGCTGGCACTTGGCTGGGCCTGTTCCCTTCGTCACCCAGAACTGTGGGCAGGGTAGCCAACCACCCAGGTTTCCTGGGACCGAGGGGTGCCCCAATGCTGGGCTCTGGGGCAGCCAGCACCCACCCTTGCCAAGTGGCACCCTGACTGCCGGTCCTGCCTCTCTGCCATGGTCCTGGCCTCCTCCCTGCCCATCCGTCCAGAGCCTGCCTGTCCATGCCCATCTGCTTAGGAGCCGCCTCCCCGGCCTATGACAGTGGCTGCACCAGGACAGGAGCCCTTGTCACTGCTTGGGGCATTACCCTAAGGCTCTGGATCCCTGCTGGGGCCTGCCAGGCACCCCAGCTTCCCCCAGGGCACAAGGATAGTGGTGGGCACTTGAGTTGCACGGTAGGCTGTCTGCTTCCCAACTGGGAAATCACAGTCTGGCCTTTCACACCATGCCCGGGCATGGAAATGGCTATACAGGCCACTGGTGCTGGGGGTGCCAGCATGCAGGGACCCTAGCACAGCCCTGGGCCTTTGGGGGCTCAGGAGGTGGCTGAACCCCTCCACTCCGTCTTTGTGTTCGCAGCCCAGAGCCCAGCCCCATCTGGGGGCACCCAGCCCCATCTGGGGGCACACAGACCCTGGCCAGCACTATGCCTGGGGAACTCACAAGGAGAATGTGGGCTCCCAGCCTCGGGGTGGCCCAGGGTGCCCCTGGAGCCCGGGAGGTGTGATGAGGACACCCCCCGTGTTATGGGGGGAAAGCCACATGCCCACACATGCCCCCTTCACCAGAGCCCGTCTCCCATCGCCCAAGCAGACCCTATCCATACTGCTTCCAGCTCTGCTTCCGACCCGCTGTGTGACTTTGTACAAACCACTCGACCATTCTGTGCTTTAATCTTCTCATGTAAAACGGCACTAATAGCTTGTGATGAGGATGAACTGGAATGCAATACCTGTCAGGGGTGAGACAGAGTCTGGCTCATAGTCAGCTCCTCAGAGGTGCCTGCTTTTCTCAGCTGTCACTGTCACGGACTTTCTAGAAGGATCCTCTGGCTGCTGCCAGGCAGGCACTGGAAGGGATGGGTGCCGGCATCGGAAAAAAGTCTGGCCTGGGCTAAGTGGCAAGGGAAGTGGAGAGAGACAGAGCGTGCTGGGCACAGAGGGGATTTGCCCCCCAGCTCCCACCCCCACCTTGTCCCGCCTTACCCCCCCTCCCCCCACCGGCCCTAGGGAAGGCCGGCCACTCCATCTCCCCTCTCTCTGGCAGAGCCCATTTCCTAAACTCCTACGTGAGACCCCAGAAACCTGTGAGGGGTGCATCACTGCGGCCAGAACCAGCCTGGGGCCAAACCCTCGGGTGCAGATGGAGAGGGGCCGTGCCTCCCCAGCTAACCAAGTCCCTGCCCGGGTTCCTGCTGCCGCTGGCTCCCCGGCTCCCTCCCCGACCTGGGCCCCCAGGGAGCCCCTGCTCACTAGAGGGCTGGCCCTAGTGCAGGCGGAGAAAGGGGGTCCAGGTACCACAGCGCCATCGCGCCCTGCCTCGGGTATAAAGCTCTGCGCGCGCCTGGGATGGCGCCCTCTAGTGGCGGCCACTGGCATGACTGGCACGTGTTCCTAAGACCCTGCCTAGGAAGGGCTTTTTCTGTGTCCACCTGCCCCATCGCCCACCATCGTGTGGAGAGGAGACGCTGGGGTCCTACCAGGACCCCTCCCAGCGACCCAGGGGGCTGACTGGCTCTCGCCTTGTTTAGACCAGCTCTTGGTATATTTCTGCAAGTCCGGGCAGCGGGCCCTGAGGTCTGCCCTAGCCTCACTGGCACGAGGGAGCCCTGAGTCCCCCACCATCCCATGAGCGTTTCTGGGGTGGATTCAGCTCAGCCAGTGGAAGGCTTCATGCTCTCGAGTTCAGGCAGAGATTAGATGCAACCATCCCAGGAGGGTCCTGGTGCTGGGCGAGCCGAGCCAGCTTCGAGCCTGTGCCCCCGGCCCCTGAGCAGACACTTCAGTTCCTGAGTGTCCCGGGAAGGACCCCCCAGCCCAGAGAAAGCACCTCAAGTCCAGGAGCAGGCTGGGTCAGACAGCAGAACCTTTAGATGGAGCCACGAACTTCAGAACCAACCCCGGCCCCTTCTGTGGAGCGGAAACAGGTTCCAGAGGCCCTAGGGCAGGGGATATCCACCTTGTGCTGCACACCCCTTCTGGGGCTAAGCCCCCACCACGCCAGCCTGTGGGGTGGGTGCTCAGGCTTCTGTCCCCTTCTGCGAGTCTTCTCCCTGCCTCCTGGGATGTGGGGACCAGGTCCCCAAAGCTTTTCTCCCCCCCCCAGCTGTGGAGCAGAGACCCGGTTTCCTCAGTGAGAACCATGTGCAGAGGGCAGCTGTCCTGTGCCTGTCCTGACCCAGAGACGGGGAGGGACCCCAGCTGGCAGGGTGGGGGCAGAGCAGGGACTGCCAGGGTCAGGGACAAAGTCGGGGAGTCCCCTGCACCTGCCTGCCCCCCCACCCACCTGCTGTCAGCACGTCTCAGGCCAGAAGTGGACTCCCAGGTATATGTCTCCCACCTGGCAGGAAGGGAGGGCTGGGCAAAGGGGGCCCACCTGGCAGGCTGCCGAGGAAGTGGGGGCCAGGCACCAGCAGGCTGCCCCCCCGCCTGTCTCCTTCTCTCCTTCCACATTTGGGGACATTCATTCTTTGCTCCGTCAGCTGGTTGCATGCTAGGCGCTCAGCCTACAGAGGTGAACGCCATGCCCCCACCCCAGAAAGGAGTGGGGAGACATGTCAGAACTCACAGTTGATGTAGTTGAGGACATGGGGGTGCAGAAGCCCCTAACAGGCCCCAGGAGTGAGAGCTTATGCTAGTCAGCGTTCAGACTCCTGTGGGGAAGGTGAGGGGCTTGGTGGAGGCGGGCAGATCCGAGTGGAGCAGGGGCAGGCCTGCTGGGCCTCAGGGAGGGACCAGGGTCCCACGTGACTGGGGAGGCAGTGGGAAGGGATGGGGAGAGGTGCGAAAGGCTCCCCAGTATGCACTGGTTGTCCTCATGCCAGAACATCCTGATGAGGGTCCCCCGCCCACAGCACCCCTGGTAGGGCCTCGCAGGGAGGGAGTGGAGTGTGGGGCTCTCCTGCCAGAGCGACAGAGGCAGGGCGGAACCGTGAAGGGCTGTGGGGCCCAGGGCTGCAGCAGCCTCAGGGCTCTTGCATTTCCTCCTGGCCCTGGTCAGGGGTGACTGCAGGGTCTGGGCTTTTACACTGAAGACACGCAGCTGCCAGTGGATGGACGGCCGGGGTGTGGGGCCTGCTGTGCGTCCTCTTCTCCAGAGCCCCAGGCCAGCAACTCCGGAGCAATGCCCCCCACCCCGGTCACTGTGAGCCGGGGACCTGGGGGACACCCGACTTCTAGTAGCCCCCAGGTCTGCCAGGTCCCTGCCCACCCAGGATAGCTGGGAAATGGCTCGGTTCGGTCATCTGTGTCACCGCACAGCCGGCCAACAATTTTCTGATGTTGAGAATTCAGCAGTTTAGCCCTTATACAAAAATAACGAGGTTGGAACTCCATCTGGCTGCTCCCAGTTGGAATGCAAGGAAAATGTTGACAGCTTGGGGTGCGGGAAACTGCACACCCCTCCTCTTTGTGCAGGCAGAGTGAGAGGGCCCCGGCCTGGCCTCCCCAAGCCTCCTCTCCTGAGAGGTCCGCACTCCCGCCCCTGAGCTGTGGAGGGCAGTGGCTCCTGATGTCTGGGCTGCCTAGGAGGCCGGAGGAGGGCACAGGTCATACATGGGGCATTGTGAAGAGACAGTCCTCCTGTCCCCGGGCAGAGTCCATCACTATATGGAGCAGGGAGCCTGCAGCGAGCCCCGGGCTGGGGTCAGGAAGCCGGAATGGGAGGCCAGCTCTGCATCTGTGCACCGAGGCCACTGCTTATGTCCTGACCTGTAAAATGGGCTTTGTGACGCTCAGGTTAACATGGTCCGAGAGGATCTCCAGCACTTGTTTGGGACCAAGCGTCGTGGCTGACGCCCAGAGCCACCATGTGCTCTGGTCTGCAAGGACTCATTCCTGCCTGTCCTGAGACAGAGGCTTGGGCAGGGTTAGGGGGCCACCTGCAAAGTGGCTCACGTTGCAGAGCTGCCCAGGTTGGAGCTGTGACACTTTGACACCTCGGCCCAGTGGCACATGCTGTGGCACCTCTGGCGCCAGCTGGCTGCCACATGCACCTTGTTGCCTGCTCTCCAGCTGAAGCGAGGACTGGTCGGGGCGCCGATGTCTGCATGCACCTGCGCAGAGCGGCTCCTGCCGCCTCATGTCCGGGCCACTCCTGATCATACCCGCTTAGCACGTGGGGAAACTGAGGCTTCCAGACTTGAACTGGTTTGTCCAGCGTCTGATAGTGGTCGCTAGGCTTCTGACAGGGTCATTTTGGAATTTGGGTAGATGAGCGAATAGGTGATGTTTAGATAAGTGGTAAGATGGATGGGTGGACTTCTCTGAGGCTCAGCTTTCTAGGCTGAGCTCAGCCTCCTCACTGACAGTCATTGAATATGCACAGTGGGCTCCTGGGGCTCCTGGGGCAGCTCCCGGGGGGGCCTCTGAGAAGGTGGGCTCCTCATTGGGTCCCTACGCTTTGGGCCTCGCCGCTCCTTCTACTAGCTAAGTGCCGCATGAGCAGGTCTGGCGACGACAGCCTCCTGCTTGGCCCTCTGCCTGTGAGAGAAGCCCCGCTGCCCACCCGGCTCCCCTCATCTGCTCTCCTAGAGCTGGGCCCTGACCCAGGGGCCGGAGGGCCTGCCTGTCCTCTCCCCACCAGGGTTACGGTGAGATGCGGAGACGACAGTGCCATCAGAGCTGCAGTGACGGCCAGCTGGGAGCGGGCTCCTCCCCTCTGCCCCCTCCTCGCCTTCCCTGCAGCCCCACGTGAGGGTCCCGCCCACCACCACTCAGTGCCCGCGCGGCAGGTGCGTCAAGAGTAAGTCAAGCGCTGTTTAAAGGAGGTGGAGGCAGAAGGGGAGTTCGGGCCCCGGTGCGTGACATCCTGCCCTCTGCTGACCCCAAACCTCTTCTGAGCCCCAGGGATCTGGGTGAAGTGGCCCCAGGGGACACTTTCCCTAGCGCAGAGGAATCGGGTCCCCTCACCCAGGACTCGCCTCCCCTGCACTGGGCTCTCCTCTGGTCCTGGGCCACACCAGCGCTGCGTCAGGCTGCATGAGTGAACTTCACGTCAGGCACCTGCAGGCACCCCAGCAGGCTGGCAGGAGGGACCCCTCAGCTAGAGCTAGAGCTGCCCTGGCCTCCCTGCCTCCCTTTCCATCGCAGGCACCTGGCCCCTCTCCAAGTCAGCTGGCTTGGCTGCTCCCCTTGGGCCAGAGGTGGTCACACGTGTGGCTCCTGCGGGAGTCACTGCCCTGAGAGCTCCTGGGGCATCCCGGATAAGTGACATCCATGGAGAGGAAGCATCTGCTCGTTGGGGGAGTCCCAGGGTGGGTGTCCTGTCTGTGCGCATGCACCTGTGGCTGGTCAGGCCGGGAGGGACCCAGTGAGAGGTGATGTGAGGCCACTGGGTGTGCCAGAGTTCACAGGGGCACCTGTGCCTCCGGGCCTCTGTGCCCTCCATCTGTAGCCTCAGCCTGTTAAGAGAAGGCTCTGCAGGGAGAATGACACCACTGAGGACAGGGAATGAGGCTTCCCGCCTCCTTCAGTGTCCTCGGAGTCCAGCAGGCGTCCAGGGGAGCTTACGTGGCCAGCCCTGTCCTGTACACCTTGCCAGTCTAGGCTGGGGCACAGACTGAGCCTGGCAGGGCCTCCGGCTTCACACCTGCAGACACGAGCCCGTGTGGGTAGCTCTCAGTCCACACGGTGAGTGAAAAATAGTGCGTGGCCACACCCCTGTGAATTTTTACCAGCGCAGAGCAAACCACGTGGCCCTCCTCGGGCACAGACATGGGCGAGGCACAGAAGGGACGGGGCGGGCTCCCATTAAATCCCAGAAGTGAGTGGTGACATCAGCTCCCAGCACCTCCCTGCAGGCCCGCCTCTCTGGTCCCTGAGCCCACAGCGCCTCCGTGGGCTCCCGGCCTCGGCCTCTGTGGTCTGAGAGGACGGCCACAGGTGGGGACCCCGTTGTTCATGGTCACGAATTTGTGACAGGAGCCTGCCCCCTCCAGGGCCTCAGATGTGGCTCCCTGACTGGGAATCCAGCCCCTGGCTGGTTAACATTCCTCTCATCCCCCCGTGGCAGGGTGGTCTCTCGCTTTCCGACCAGGATGCCAGCCAGCCTGTCCGAAATCCCTGCCCGGATTCATCTGCGTGTCTGTGTTTTCTCTAAAGATCCCATCACGGGAAGAGAACGAGACACGGCCGTTCACAGCTGTTGCTGACGAGATCAAGGGTGGGCGTGCCGTCTTCCCAGCCTCCCGTTGCTGGGATGTGGGGCGTTGCAGGAAACCCCTTTGCACGTGTCTCTGGAACACGCCTCTCCTGCCACCATGTCCCCACCCAGCCCAGTTGGGGGTCACTCACAGTCAGCCTGGAAGTTGGCCGGGGAGCATTTGCTCTTTGTGAAGTGATGTAAAGTGAGAAAGGACTGAGGCACCACGTATGAAATGCCTCCAGGGCCCGCTGGGGAGGTGGGGGCCACCTGCATGGCGATAAAGCTTTTGGCAGAAGGTTCTGGGTGTTCCCTCCCCTGGAGAGGCTGGTGCTCTCGGTGAAACTGATAAAATGTTGGAGACCTGGGGCCTGCCGGAAGGGCTGCCTCTCTGGGGGTCCTTTTGTTTATACTCTATTTTGTTAATTGTGGGAAATTACGTAAGATTTACCATCTCAGCCATTTGTAAGTGCACAGCTCAGTGGCGTTAAGCGCATTCACACTGCTGCGCAGCCTTCTGCACCCTCACCCCCAGACCATTCCATCTCCCCAAACTGAAGCTTTACCCCCGCTAAACTCACCCCTGCCAGGCCTGGCACCCACCCTCCTCCTTAGGAACCTGGAGACCTCTGGGGCCTGCTGTGGATGGAGTCCCGCAGGGGCTGGCCTTTGTGTCCAGCTTATTTCACCGCGCTCTGTAGTGTGTCACAATGTCCCCCCATGTGGCCGTGGTGTATCCCGTCCCCTGGCTGGGCCGCATTCTGTTCACCCGTTCGTGTGCCGATGGGCCGTTGGGCTCTCCGTCCTGGGGCCATCGTGAACAGGGCGCACACACCCGTTTGAGCGCCCACTCTACCCTCCGGTGCCCCCACAAGTGCAGCAGCCGGAATCCTGAGGGCTTTACCCGTGAACACCATCCCTGGGCCGTTCCACGCCCTCGGCCACGTCCTGACGTGGAGCTCCAGGGCGATCGCTCACAGTGAGGCGTGTGTGGTGAGTGGCCGGGGGTGCAGCCCACCCGGCCTCGGCCTCGGACTGACGCCCTCTCTCCGCCCCCCTCAGGCCAGCCTTCCCGCCTGGCGCCAGGGACGCACTGCCCGCCCACGAGCACCTGGAGCCCAAGAGGAAGCTCTACAGCGCGGTGCCCGGCAGGCTCTTCGTCGTCGTCAGGCCGTACCAGCCCCTGGTCGATGGCGAGATCCCCCTCCACCGCGGCGACAGGGTCAAAGGTCAGTGCCCTCCCCACTGCCGGGCCCTCTGCATGTGGGCGTCTAAGGCGTTGCTTCTGTGGGGACCCCTGTGGGAAATGTGGAGCCCTGGCTGCAGAGTGGCCCTCATGTCCACTAGGGACAATGACATGTGCGCATTGAGCGGAAAGAACGGGAGAGGGGCTGACGAGGCTATCGACGGGCAGAGCTCCTTTCCACTAGGAGAACCCGAGAGCCTCAGGGAGAAGTGGCACTGGGGCAGAACCTGTCACAGGTGGGATCTGGGGGTCAGGGGGTGTCCAGTTGGATGGCCCAGCATCCTGTAGGCCTGCAACGTTCCAGGGAAGGATGTCTGCCAGGCTGGAGGGAAGAATTCCCAAAGCAGAATCCTGGCAAGTGTGGTTGAAAACCACTGAGGCCACTATGAATGCCAGGCTGAGGAGTTAGACTGTCCCCACGGGTCCTGAGAGTCGGGGATGGTTTCTGAGCAGGGGATCAGGTAGGTGGGGGCAGCTGAGCCCTGTGGTGCTGAAGGCCACAGGAGGGAGACAGAGGAGTGGCGGGGGTGGGCTGCCAGCCACGTGGGGGCAGCTGGACTGGTGGGCAGTGCCACATTGTGGCACACCACACATGCCCAGCCCCACCTGGGCCTGTCTCTGGAGGACAGGCTTTCAGAAGACACACGGAAGGGCACTGAAAGCATGCCCCTTAGAGGGCAGTAGGCCAGCTTCAAATCCTGCCTTCCACACTGTCAGCCCTTGGCCCCGAGCTGGTGATGAGCTCGGTTCCCTGCTCCACGCTGTGCGGTGATCTGGCCGACGTCCACCAGCTCCCAGATCTCTAGTGGCAGGTGCTGCCCCAGCCCCGCCCTGGCACCTGGCCATCCAGCTGCAATACATCGGACCATCTGGAGCACCAGCAGGTCCCAAGGGCTCTTTCGATTTCTATCGCTTTTCTTCACCTTAGAGCATTTCTAGTTTCATACTCAGTAGTTTCCCCCTCAGTGACGTAAACCGGGGGCTCTATAATGTCCCTTAAGGTGTCTCGTTCCCCTTGTGAATTTCTTAATTTCAGAAATTGTGTATTTAAGCTCTAGCATTCCCATGTGTGCTTTTATCATTTATTTTTATTTGCCAAGACTTCCTATTACTCTGTTGAGATTTTTCACTCACTGAAAGCACGTGCTGTCTTATGATGCTGTGAACTGGTGTCATCGCTTTGAACCCTGTGTGTTAGTCCCGCCCCCAGGGTCACCCCCTCGCTGCAGGAGTGCGGGGTGAGCGAGAGCCCGCCTGTCTCCCTGGGGACAGAAATCACAGACCTTATTCCAAAGCTCGCCCCTCAAAGGATCGGCAGCTCCTGGTGAGGAGCAGAGACCCTCTCGTCAGGAATTCTCTCCCCCGCCTCAAGGGGCTGCCACAGAGGCAGGGGAGCTGGCTGCCTGGGAGGATCCTGGCAGCAGGGGGGGACCGGGGTCCTGGGGATAGCCTCACACCTCCCGAGCTGGGCCGCCAGATCGTTTCATTCAGATCCGTCCTGCACGGCCCAAAGGGCAGGCCTTAATGCTCCCAGGAGACAGCTGGGCCCCTTGTACCCGGAAGCACCTCCCAACCTATGTCTCCTAAGATGAGGGCGCCCAGGATCAGGGGCGCGCCTGCTTGGACTGCCCCAGGGATGCATGTGTTCAGGGAAGCCCAGGATGGCTTGACATTCAAATGGCCTAGATGTGCCTTCCCACTGGGGATTCAGGGCAGAATCGGGGAAACCTGGGACTCAGGTTCTTCCAAACTGTGGGCTCACTCCCCTGTCTCAGATAGGTCCTTCCTCAGTGGCCCAGGAGGGGTGGGGTGGTTGAGGGCACGGTGGGTACCCACATAGTGGCAGCACTGGCCAAGCCCGCCGAGTTTCCAAGCCAGCCTGGGGCGGCTGGATGTAACCGCTGTCCACGTTGCAGGGGACGGCGGTGTGTCCCTGGAGGGGCCCGGATGGTAACTTAGGAGGAGGACAGCTAGACGGGGAGCCCTGTTGACCAGTTTCCTTCAGCTGTGGTCTCAGCGCCTGTTGGGCTTGTGAGGACGGGAGGGTAAATAGTTGGTTCTCCGGGTGTGAAATGCTCACTTTTCAGTGACTTAAATCAACAGCTTATAGCGAGCCCAGCCCAGTCCCTCTTGGCCCCCGGAAGAAGCGGAGTGGCCTTTCATAGCCACGAGGAGGGCGCTGGCCTGCACCGCCTGTGGGCAGGGCCCTTCCCCGCCCGGGGCGGTGTGCTGAGAGCGCGCCGGGCCAGGTGCCTGTGCACCTAGTCGGCTGCTGGGCTGCGCGGTGGGGAAGGAGCCAGCTCCTCGGTGTGTGGAGGAGGTGCCGCCAGCACTCGTCAGCTGGGAGGGCGCGTGTCTGCTTCACTTCGGCCATTTCTTCCCATTATTAGGCAAACTCATAAAAAGTTGGTAGTTTCTGTTCTTTGGACCTCCAAGTGTCATGGGTCCCCTTGCTCTCCCCGTGGCCTTTGAGATCAGAAGGATAGGGGACACGTCTGTCGCCCAGGCCCCTTGCTCTGCAGTTCTGGTGCCTTCGGACCCTGAGTAATTTAAAGATCAAGATGTGCAGAGATTGTATTGCTTCCCTGTTGTGCAGCCACATTCGGAGGGACCCAGGTGCTGGGGGCACCCCCAGCCCAGCACCAAAGGCCTGGGCTATAGACACCTTCTCTTGGCTCACTGCTGCAGGCTGGGCTCCCACAACCAATGTGTCTGCCCAGGTGGTGCCTGCAGGGCCCTTGGGTCCTTGTGAAGTCCCCCTGCCCTGTGTCCATAGCTTGTGCCACTCAGCCATGCTCAGTGTCACTGAAGTTTAAGAACAAACGTGCCTCATTCTCCCAGTGGGTGTTTACGAGGGCCCTTCATGAGTTTCGGCCGACTGGGAGCACCCAAGCCCGGCCCAGCACCTGCCCTGCAGGCTGGGTGGCCATGTCCATCTGCCTGCGCTTCTCTTCCCCTCTGTGCTGTGCAGAGCGGCCCCTTCTCTCTCGGGGTATCGGCAAACCCCTGCCCCTCGCCAGCATCCCTGTGACCAGTGGGTTCTTGATGAACTAGCCCTCTTGCCGCAGGCCAGGACGCCCACCGCAGCGCTGGCAGGGCACGCCCTGCATTTGGCCCTTTGCGCTTGGAGCCCAGGCAGTGCCCCACAGGCGTCAGGATCTCCCCTGCTTCCCGTCTGCTGATGTGAATTCCCTCTCCTCCAACTGGCTTAAAGGTCCGGCAGACCTAGATGTTTTGCCCCCTCCCCAGCTTGGGAGGGTCATACGTGACCTTACTGTCCCCCATCCCCATTCAGGTGGCCTGTCCTTCCAACTTTCACACCTGAGATAGTTGATGGCAGGGACTCAGCTGGGACACAGGGAGATGGGACAAAGGAGCCATGTGGTGTGTGGTGTAAGGCAGATGCCAGGTCGTCCGGCACCCTCCCCCACTGTCAGCAGCAGAGGGGACCTGGGGACAGCAGAGGCTCTGCCCGCAGCACTTTCCTCCTCGGGGGACACTGACCAGGTCCCCTTGTCCATAGCAGAAGGAAGTGTGGAGCACTGACCCCCTCCCTCTGCTACCCCCCCTTGCTCACCCCCAGACCGTCGAACTGCCCGCTAACGCCTCCCTCTTTCCTTCCTTCCAGTTCTGAGCATCGGGGAAGGAGGCTTCTGGGAGGGCAGCGCCCGCGGCCACATCGGCTGGTTCCCGGCCGAGTGTGTGGAGGAGGTCCAGTGCAAGCCCAGGGATAGCCAGGCAGGTAAGGAGGGTGCCACTCGGCCGCCCAGCCTGTTCTCTCCGCCTCTCTCGGGCCTGGGGCCGGCAGCGTCATTATGTCAGGGTGTTCAGCAAAGTCCAGCTGCTGTGGTGTTTGGAAAGCACGGTTCCAGAACCAGAACTTCTGTGTGTCACTGAACTGGGCTAACTTGGGGCCACTCGGCTTTGTCCAAACCAGAAATCAGCGTGGAAGCTTTTAAAAGGTTCCTGGTCCTTGTTCCGGATCTCGGATCGCGCGTTTTAGCTGTCAGAAAAGGGCTTTTGTAGGCTGGTTCATGCTTGAAGTCAGGTGATCGATCTTTCGTGCTGATGTCATGAGCAGGCGGTGCTGCGTGTACCGGGCCGCCCTGTGTGCCCCCCAGAGTCCAGTGAGACGTCTCGAGCACACTGCTCACGGAGGTCAGGGTTCGTGGGGAAGGTCACTCCAGGTCTCTCCAAACTCCCAACTGCAGCCCTGAAAACGTTGTAGAGTTGGTTGCCAAAAAATTGAGTTCATCAGAATGTTAAGAGGAGACCACTTTATAAAACGGTGTGGAGAAAAAGCCACAAGAATTGGAGAAAAGCACAGCACCGGGACGTATGTGCCCTTCCGGCCTGTGGTAGAACCCACCTCAAAACGCACGCGTCAGAGGCGGCCTCGTTCGCTGTGGCCTTGCTGCGTCTCCCAGTGCAGAAGGATCGCCCCTGTCCCATCAGGGCTCCCGGCCTGACGCCCCCCAGGGAGCCCCCTGCCCTGTGTCGGTCGCCTGGGCTAACGCGGCCGGGAAGTGAGGTGCTCTAGGACACATGGTCGGGGAAGGGCCCGGACCTGGCCGGCTCTGAGAGTCTCCCTCGGGGACACTGAGCTGGGTTAAGGGAGCATCGTGTGTGCTAAGCTTCCCATCCAGACAGGTTCAAGCCCAGGGGGAACCGTAACACTGGCCATGTTGTGGGGTGCTGAGGTAAGAGATGCCCCAAGTGTAACCCTGGAAGGGAAGGCTGAGCTGCGCACCGCGAGGGGGTGGCTGGCAGCCGGAGGTCACAGGTGGATGGGAGCATGTTTCCCTGAGTGTGGGGATGGGTGCGCTCAGCCCCAGTTGTAGGCGCCTCCACCCCCACCACCTCCTTCCTCCAACGGGAGGAGAATCCAGCCCTCCTTCCTCTCTGGTGCATAGCTGCAGCCCTGCCCTCCCCCGGGCCCCCCGCCCCCACTATGCCCTTGGGGAGCCTCAGCGCGTCAGCCCCAGTATTGCTGGTGAAGCCACACAGCCCAGGATGACCAGGCTGAGGTGCCGCCTGGGGAAGGGGCTGCCCCGGGGCCGGGGCTTATTGGTGTTCATGGGGAACCTGTCAGGGGTGACAGACCCCTGGAGGGCTGCTCTCACTCCTGTGCATGTGCCACAGGACAGAATTGTTGATCCAACGGTGTTGTCCTCCTGGGTGATGCCTGGCAAGGGTTTAACACTCCTTTGGGGGCTGCCCATGTATCCCAGGCAGTGTGAGAACATGAAAGCAGGTCCCTGACTCCAAGCAGCTGAGCTGTGCCACACAACCCAGGTGGCCCTGTGCATTCGTGCTGTGCGCGTATCCCGAGATCCCCGGGCATCTTGCAGGGCTGAAGTGGAGACAGATACACTATAGGTCGCGTTGCCCTCAGGGTCTGAGGAGCTGGAACAAATCGCCAGTTGGTGTCTTTGAACATCACTGTCTATTGTCTTGCAGTCCTGGAGGTCAGAGGTCGGGCGTGGGTCCAACAGGGTCGTCGTGGCATTGGCAGGGCCGTGTCCCTCCCGGAAGTTCTGGGGGAGAATGGGTTTCCTGGCTGTCCCAGGCTCTGGGGTTCCTAGGCTCATGGCCGCTTCCCCCAGTGTCAAAGGCGGCTCTGCGGGCCGTGTCCTCTCCACGTCACCTGTCTCCGATCCTCCCTTCTGCTTCCTCGTCCACGTTTTAGGATTTGTGTGATTGGACTGGGCCTACCTGTGAGTCCAGGTCAGGGCAGACTGATTGGCAGCCTTCATTCCCGTGCCACATGAGGTCACGTACTCACTGGTACTGGGGATGGACGCGGGCGTCTTTGGGGGACTGTCGTCCATCTCCTAGGTAAAATATGAGCACAGGAACACCCCTGTGATGGGGCCTTGGGCCAGAGGAGGGGCAGCCCTGCACCGTGGGGCAGAGGGGAGGGCCCGGAGGGCAGCACAAAGGAGATGGAATTTGAGCTGGATTCTCGGGTGGGGACAGTCCCGGACTGGGTCACATTGGGTTCTGTTTGCCTCAGATTTTCTGAGATTATGACTTACCACTATCTTTTTAAAAAATTTCTTTCGTAGAGGTATGATTTACGTGCAGTCAAATGCACTCATTCCCAGAATAGTTCAATGCATTTTGACAGATGTGTACACCTGTGTCTCGACCACGGTTAGGATATATTTCCATCACCCCAGAAAGTTCTGTCAGGGTGCTTCCAGGCATTCCCCGAGCCCCAAATCAGAGGTAACCACAGTTGTGACTTCTATCACCAAAGATGGTTGGATTTCCCAGAGATGGAACCCCACAGCGCGTACCCCCGAGGCCGGCCTCTTTCGAGCAGGCGGATGCTACGACGTTCAGGAATCCGTCTGTATTCTTATTGCTGTGGTATTTCCGTTATATGTTTATACTGCAGAATGTTTTATTCTCCTGGTGATGGACATGGATTGCTTCTCAACTTGGGCTCAAACGAAGGGAATAAAACGAAGCTGCTGTGAACATTTTTGTGCAGTTCTTTGAGCAGACATGTTTTCATTTCTCTTGGGGATATTCCTACGTGTAGCGCTTCTGGGTCACCAAGATAGTGTGTTTAGCTTTATAAGAAACGGCCAAACCGCTCTCCAAATGGCAGTGCCATTTTGTGCTCCTAATAGCCAGTGCAAGAGTTCCAGTGGCTCCACTTTCTCACCGACATTTGGCAACATCGATCCCACCCGTGTTAGTGGGTGTGGAGAGCAGCTTATTGTGGGTGGCATCTGCATTTTTCTGATGACCCTTGTCAGTAAGCACCTTTTGGTATGTTTACTTACCATAGGTAGAGTTGCTCTTGTGAAGTATCTGTTCAAGTCCATTTTCTACTGGATTGTTTCACTTGCCATTATTGGTTTGTGGGCAGTCTTTATATATTCTGTCTGCCGCTTCTATGTGAGATACATGTTGCAAATATTTTTCCCAGTCTGTGATTTGCCTTTTTGTTTTCTGAATCTTTTAATGAGTAAAAGGTTTTCCTAAATTTTAAATGAAGTCCAGCTCACCTTTTTCTTTCACAATCAGCACTTTTATGACACTCTCTCTTTTTGTTAATGTTGAAAATTAGCAGACCCTGACTATTCTTAGGACCCAGGTGCTGGTACAAAGTCCTTTTGAACACTTTGGTGTAGTGAGGTGCTTCCACACACAGCCAGCCTAGTCCAAGCCCTCAGAACTGTTACTGGTCGTAAAGTGGGTATTTAGCTGGCAAATCCCACTCGTGTGCATTAACTGAAGTAAAAGCCAGTAGTTCAGGGAGCAAACAGCATGGTGCCATCAGCTGCCTGGGGTCCCCGATGCCTGTGGGCATGACCAGTGGATTTCTCCTCGTTTGTCTAAGGACAAACATGAGAGGCCCAGGTGGCCACCAGGATGAAGTGGGGGCTCTGGGTCAGCAGCTGGTGCAGATACGAGTCTGGCTTGGTTCCGTGGACAGTCTGGGAGTCAGCTCTGCCCTGTGAAGAACGTCACCTCGCTTCTCATCTCAGGACCGTGTGTGTTCCTGGCACTTCCTCGTTTCTGACGGGCTTTCCTGTGGTATCTCATCCCACCTGGGGAGTAAGCCGGGCAGGAACCGTCCTCCTGATTTAGACACGAACACCCACGTCTCCACACCCAGGAGCTCATAGGAAGGAGGTCACCAGGCTGGGCTGTGGCCTGTTTCAAATTCCTGATGCCCTGTGCCTCGACCTGTACCCACATCTGAGCAGCCTTCCTCATGCAGTGGTGGGCATGGGGGTCCTGGGGTTGGACCACCGCCGATTAACCTCGTGCACGTCAGCCAGGAGCTATGGGGAAACTGAGGCAGGTCCCCTTCTCAGTCCAGCTGCCTCCCAGCTGGCTTCACACACACAGGTTGTCTAACCACTCTGAGTAGACTTCACCTGGGCATGGCGTGGCAATGTGGGGGTTCGCAGTGATGGCACGTGCAAGGTCAGGGGGAAAGGGTGATTGTCAGGTTTTTGTTTCTGTGCACAAAAGACAGAGTGTACCCCAATTTATAAAACTCACCCCTTTGCATGCATCAGCCCAGGAGACCGGCAGCAAGGTGCTGCCTGTGGTGATGGCATTGTGCACAGAGGGCGGCACTAGGGAGGGAATGCCAGCTGATCATGTGTGCCTATCCCCTCCCCCATGCTCCCAGCATCCGGGCTCCTTGGCACAGGGACAGCTCCTCTCGCTTGCATGCCCTGCACAGCTTTTAATGCAGAACAGAATGTGTCCACAGTCCACTGTGCTCATGGCTAGGAGGCCATGTGTTGCTCTGGACCCAGGACCACAGGGCCGGCATCGTCTCACTGTGAAACTTCGCGTGTGTTCCAGGTGCAGCAAAGTCAGCCTCTGTAACAAGCACATCCACCATGTAACCGGGCAGTGTGGCTTCTGGTCAGCAGGCGAGCTGCTTTTCCCCGCATGTGGTGAAGGGTCCAGGCCCCTGCATTGTGTGGCCTTGCCCTTCCCAAGCGCCCAGGAGCCTCTGCCTGCAGTTGGCACATACAAGAAGACCATGTGCCCACCTGGGAGATGCTCCGGCTCAGAAGGGACACACACCACAGCCTCTCAGTTCCCACTGGGTGCCCCAGGTGCTCGGCCATGTGGTCCCCACCTGGCAGGGTTCTCCAGAGAAACAGAGCCAGTAGAATATAGATGTAGAGTTGGGGGTGTGGAATTAGACGCAGATGCACGTAATGAGTGTCACTTTAAGGAACTGGCTCACACGGTTGG